GTAGTGTTGAAAGAAGTCTAAATATTTGGGCGGAGGTGGTGAATATTATTATTTTTGGTACATAAGTTTAAAACAATAATATTGACTTAATTATGAGGGGCTTTCGGCGTCACCACGGAAATATTCGCCCCAATTTAGAAAGGACTAATCCACATTATCATTTGGTCTACCTTATTTGGCCTCATACAAATCTGATTGTGGCATGAAGTGCTTCTTTCCTTGTTTCCTTTTAATTCTTTTGGAATTGAATGTAAAATCCAATGAGATCATTTGTGGTTCAATGATTTTGGAATGTATTAGTCATTTCGGTTTGAATCAAGAGATTGTATACTTATCTGGAAAAAAAAGAGAAAAAAGAGAGAGATTATTTAGTATCCAAAATTTAAATTCAAAGTTTTTTTTTGGTTCGAAAAATTCAAAGTATTCTTCATAACCCTAAAGGGACACAATTTTAAACACAAACATCTTATCAATATAAAAAACATTAGTAAATAATGTGTACTCACTTTTACCACATGGTGTATCCAGAATATATAAAAATTTCTCGTCAAACTGTTGGTGAAGCGAAGGCACACATTTAATTTTAATAACTTTTTCTAATTTGGTACATCACCCATTTTCTTTTCTAAATTTGTTACAAAGCGTGTCATTCTATTAGCAGCACACAGAAATCTTTGGTTTAAATTTCAAGCCTGCGTATTTGATATGCACATTAACTTGGCGCTTGTGAGGTACTAAAATTTCTATATATAGTGACAATTTTAACTTTATATAGCATTACCCTCATGCTTTATTCTTTCAAGCTCATTTAATTTGTCTCTCTATATATACCTTTGTACTCTTTATTCTTATTAATCTAATAAAATTTTATCGCATTTTTATATATAAAATTTGTTTACATCTATCTTGTTTTAATCAGAGACAACTCAGAATTCTTGTTTTACTATCACATCAATTTCTACTTCATACGTCTATCTTTTTTCTTTTTTTTTAATGTTGTTTTAAAAAAAATTAAAATTTAAAAAAAAAAAAAACCACAAATTTTATAAGTTTTAGAAGAACAAGTTTCTTAATTTGTGACTTGAGAAGTAGGTTTATATTCCCACGCATGCCCAGTCTGACCATAAACAAAAAGGGTTATTATATAAAAGGAAATTATGCTTCATAGGTGGGTGGGTGCTGGGTAGCTAATTGTATTAATTCCAATTATTTTGTCAGAATTTAAAAATTAGAAACAAATAAAAATCTAATGTCTCTTTATATAAGGGGAATCCAACCGTCCAATTCATCCAATGAATGATCTGGATCTGCAATCTCCATTTCCTCTTCCCTCAATCTGCCAGGAATTTTGTTCCCCAATCTGTTCCAGAATTAATTCCAAAAAATAAATTAGGAAAAGTTGACGTAAGTTGCTTCCTATATTTTCAAAATAATTAATAACAATATGGTGGGGCTCAATGTGTAGAAAGTGTGTATCTTTTTCCTTCCCTTATTTGCTGTTTTTTTTTTTCATAATTTTTCAAAGATCATGTAAGTGAGGTTTTTTTTTCTTTTCCAAGTTAGCAATTCTCACATTTTGCGCACCTTCTTCACTACATTTTTGGTTATGATGTTTTCAAAGAACTTTATGGAGGACGAAAATTTTGAAAACGAAACATATTGAGGCTTTTGCAACTGTACTACCTAAAACATGATTCAAAGTATCGATCATAGATCAAATTAAAAGAGAGCAAAAAGGAATTTAATAGTCAATTAAGAAAGTACTTTCATTAGCTGCTCAAATGAGAATATTGTAATTAGTATGATAATTTGTCAATTGCAGAGTGTACATATTTGAAAATTTAGTAGTTTCGATCCGTTTCTACACTGTTGCTATGTATATTCTTGCAACCTTCGACCTATTTCAAACTCGACACTCATCTGTCAATTGTAGAATGCAAATTAAGATGTTGACATTTTATTAGATTAGAACTAAGATTTATATATGAACTACACCTCCAAAGTTAAAATGAATTGGTAAAAGCAAACATCAACCACAGATTTTATTTCGTACATAACTTATCACGTGTTTTACTTATATCTATTTATTTTATAAATGTTAACTTTTTTGTGTAAATTAGACATACCTAAATCAGTGCATACACAAATGAGCACACAGTTTTTATGTACTTAACTTATATAAGATCCGAGTTTATGAAATAATTTATCCATGTCATATGTGCGTAACATAATTCAATTCCATTAGTATTTGGTAAGTCCTACTGGTAAATATCTGTGTGTGAATGATAAATCTGTGTGTAAAATCTATGTGTGATCTTTGGAGTCAATTTCAGTCGAAAGGTGATTACCAAAATACAAATAAAATAAAATCATTCGAAAGGAGATGCTGTCTTGACTTTTTATGTGATGTGGAATTTAGTATCAACTGCAAGTCAACAAGTGGGATCAGAATTAAAGTCATCGAGGCTAATTCTTCTTTGTATTATGCTTAAATTGAATTTATGGTGCATGTGGATTAAGATTAATGCATGCATGTGTTTCTCCTGCAACTTTTACATGTTTATGCGTAAAACTTTTCTATATATATATATAGGTAGATACATGAATTTCATCACACATTGCATTGCTCATAACATGCATCAATTAAAAACATTATCAATTATTATGGCCTCGTGCAACGCTCTCTAATTCCTTATTGGCTTGCACATGCATTTCACACAGCAGCTTTCTTCTGAGATGGTGCCCTGCAGGTTGCACCTGTAAAATAATATTCCAAAGGTGTTATATAAATATTGCATTATACTAACTAACTAACTATATATATATATATATATATTATTCTTTTATGCGGACGCTATTACCGTGTGAATGTCATTGTAAACAAGAAGGAAATTGGAAATCGGAGAGGAGTAACAAAAAATACACGGCGTCCATACGATAATAACTTCCGAATGTCGGTATAAGAAAAAATCTGTATATACATATATACTCAATTAACATGGACGAAATACAGCTATATACCTAGAAATTAACGATATATCAGTAGAAATTAAATGGTTGAATTGATCTATATGTCTATATGGATTCACACATGTATACCTATAACAAAACTCAATAAGTTGGATATATATATCAGGTATCGGATAAAATTAGAATTTAGAAACAAGTTGAATTCTACAGCACGGATAATATTTTCTTAGGCAAAGAATAAATGTTTGTGTTGCTTAGGTTGTGAATACGAATCGCACGTCCATGCAATAATCAGCTTAATTAATGGTACGACAATTTCACAAAAGTAATATGCCTAATCTATAATTCAGATTCATAGTTTAACAAGAATAAACGATCCGCAAGCGTAGCACATGCGGATTGATCATTGATGATGGTATGAACAGAAGGTAGTTTAATTAGCAGCCGTACTGTAAGTATTCGATCAGGTTTGATGGATTGAAATTTAGTATTCTAAGCATGCACACCGAATCTTCTTATATTCTGTAGGGTCTCCTCCTCGGCCATAGCCATAACCAAGTGGAGGTGAAGGAACCCAGCCGAAAGCAAACAAGTTAAGATATCTCCATTAACAATTGATCAAAACAGACAAACTTAGATATATGTGCATTAACAAGTTGATCAAGACTTGCCAATTACGATAAAAAGGGGTAGTTAGATTAACAGTTTGAAGAATCTTTGGATATGTTCCATCCATATGCAGTGCCCTTATCGGAAGCTGCTGGTTGGTGCGTCGGTGCGTAGTACCAATCCCTGTGTTTAAATTACTGTTAAATCAAGGATTAAAAATGTCATAGTTAGCGGAAAGCAAAGGACTCAGACTCAGAGAATCATAATCTGCTAATGATTAAAATACCATTACAGATTATAGTTTTCAAAAAGGGAAGATAGAGATTAGAGAGGAATTGTTGACTGAGATGAGTCAAAAAGTATGTACACATGCAAGATACTGTAGCAATGCAAGCAAAAGGAACATATTCTTTTGGGGCTACCTGCCCTTCAAAAGCTATAGCTTACAAGACGTTTGAATTCTGGCCGTACATCATGTTGATATATAGTATAGATGCTTTGTACGGTTGCGATTGGATGCGATCGAGGAAAGCTTTGGACAGATTTTCAAGATGGGACCTCTTGCTTTGTTTTGCTGCGTATTTGGTTTCTGTTACACAAGTTGTTGATTGTTTTTATTTCCTGTACATCAAATTGCAGAAAATTTGAAGGCCATGCGGTGTGTGTCTCTCTAAATTACAAAAGCAAAATCAGTAATGTTTCCGGCTAAAAATAAACTCAAGATTCTTCATTCTCAACCCCTCGTTTCCAGCCCATGCTAATCAAGGCTTATGGCTATCTCAAAATTGAAGAACCAAAGTTAAACTAGCCTCACCCCTCACCAAAGGATTGAGCCCCTTCCCATTAAACCCAACATGAACTGGATATAATTGTCTACAGTTAGCCCACAAAATCCCAACTTTTGTTAATTACAAAGCCCAAAACTTGTTAATTACAAAGCACATCTTTCTCAATGGAGTCTGAATAAAACCACCAAAAAAAAAAAAAAAAGGAACCCAATTCCTTGAGGAGGTATGTTTGGTATCCTACTAAAAAATTATGATTCTTTTTAAAAAGATGAGTTTTCAAATCTAAAAACTTGTTTGGTATTGAACTCCAAACTATTTTAAAGACCTAAAATTAACCAAAGAAAAAGAAAATTCTGGGTGGTTTCAAGGAAACCCTAGAAACCCAAAACATGAAAAAAGATTGATCAATTTTGGGTGGCGTCGGGTCAAGCTAGGGATGTAGTGGACGAAGGAGACCTTGACGGAGTTGCAAACGACGTCGACCTAGAACCACCAACCGGCAAGAGAGGGAGGATAGAGTGTTTTTTAGTTTATTTTGGGTGTGAGTTCTTAAAAATGGTCCAATCAAACGGGATTTTTAAGTTTTGGACTTAAAATCTATTTTCGAGTTCATAAAACTAGATACAAGGAGGATACCAAACGGACCTTCTGCCAGTCATTTTATGAGCATGTTCTTTTCTAACTGCTCAGCATTTCAATTCAAACAGCAACAAAGTGAGGCAGAGGAAGTAAGGAACCATCAAAATACAATTGAAATTCGAAGGAAATTGACAGAATCCAAAGTGAAATTCAATACTAGCAGTCGGTTTTTCATTTTAACAAATCATAATCAGATATTGAAATGAAAAACTTTGTTTCTTCCTTGACATGGCCTAACACGGAATATCCAGGCTCCATAGTATTGAACCTGGCAAGCACAAGTGATACGCGAAACAGTACTTTCAAATTTCACCTCAAAGATTTCAAAACAATGACGACCTTAAGCACCTGCTTGAGCATTCCTAGTTTGCTGCTGCAACTCTTCATCGGCATTTCGCATAAACTGGTCCCAGCCGCTCCCGGGGCTGGTGTCCAAATAATCATACGGCACTGCAGTCTTGAGACCTGGCCTAACAGCACACTGACCCTCCACGATTCTGAAGTCCACACCATCATCCCCTAGTTCACTGCAATTCTGATCCAATTCCTCCCATGTAAACATGAGAGGCAACGTAAATGCACCCCATGGGTTAAAATCCACAACCTTAACCCGATCATCCTCTGTCACATAGACATCAAAGGTGTAGTTTTCCGACTCAAATCTGGACATCAAATTCTCCACGAAAAAATCTTCAATCAACACTCGAAGACTGTCTTTCTTTTCAAGTAGAGCAGGGTAAAAAGTGGTGACCTCACGTTGGGAAATTCCAACCAAATTCTGATTTCGTACAAAGCAACGGAATTCCATCTCTGGCTTAAGGAACTGGTACCATTTACGAAGTGCAAGCACGAAACTCTTAGGTCTCGATGAGGTTTTATCATGGCAAGAATCGTAGGCATGACATAAATCATGAACCAATGAGTCAGATGAGCGTAGCAAGAGGGCAATTTCACTGAATGAAGAGCATTTGAGTGTCCCAGTTGTGCTGATCCAAGCAGCGTCTTTTGGTGCACTCCAGTTGAGCTTAGGGAACACAGAGCCTCCTAGTGATTCAATTGATTCCTTGACCTGCAACTCAAGCTCAGGGAAAGAAGGTGGCAATGGAGGCTGCTCTGCCTCGTCATCAGACCCTTCTGATATTTGATAGTCATCTTCCTCCTCTGGATTATGAATTCTATTGGGAAAAGCATCTTCATTTGTGATTGAAACAGGGAGGAGGAAGGGCCCCGAATCATCTAGAAGGTACTGGACAAAGGGTTCTGGAAGTTCATGAATCCGAGTTTTGATAGACACAGATTTGAATTTTGGGTACCATTCCTGTATCTGGCATCGGTTCACTTCGTCTTCCTTCATCTTGTTGCTCAGTATATAATGCATCATAAATTCACAAAACACTTAACTAAATTCTACGATTACGCAAACCAATTCCCCAAAACTCTAATTTCTCAAAAATTGAAGCAAATATCATCACAAAATCAGCACAAAAACAGTTAATTTCTTAATCTCTAATGATTACGAACATGTGTACCTGAACTGAATTGAGTTTAGAGGCAGAAACCATGTGCCAACGTAGAAGAAGTCAAGTAAATCGGAATGTTTGGTATTTTGGGACGCAGTTTCCAGCTTTTCTGCCTAGGTTTTATGTTGATGGGTTGGGCCTCTTTGCGCCTCTAACCACTTGGTTTGTGTCTGTTCTCTTCTTGGGCCGGTTTTAAGAAGTGATTTTGGGATTAATAAAAAATAAACAAAGACAGAGAAGTGTAATGAATATACAAGAGGTTGTGTTGTTGTGTTTTGTCACGGTGATGCTGTTCTTATCCTTACGACGGCATTGGTGGCGGCGACAGGCGGCTTCGGTGTGTTTGTGCTAGGGTTCTACAAAACCCATACTTTAGGTGTGGGCTGAGCTTGATCGGCTTCTAGGTGGGTTTTTGGGCTTTTTTTGTTGCTCTTGTTGGGCTTACTAAATGTGAATGGTTGAGTTAATTATGGTTATACTTATGAACACATATCAAGTATTAAAAAGGGTAACAATAGTATATCTTGAGTTAAAGTGGTGAGTTAAAAATGTTTCAAATAAATGTTTATGATTCAGTTGGTACGTCTTGCATAAATTAGGAACAATCCAACTCTTTAAAATTGTGTTCTACGCAAACTGCACGGAGCAAAAACCCTATCCTCTCCAAACTTTACCACTACCCAATCCCCACCGATATAGAACACAAATTGTATGCGTGGCAGACAACGATTGGATGAAAAATTACGACATGAAAATTCACCAGTTACCGGATCGTTCCTTCCGCGCATCCTGTAGCTACTATATAATGGAGAGCAAAGACTCCTGCTTTTCGTTAACACAGTGACTTTGCGCTCTCTCTTTTCATTTCTCCCTATCTGAAAAGGCGACTGCCGGCAACCGGAAATCGGAGACTCGCCGGGTAATCGGAACTGTGCGAATTAGGTGAATGTTGTAAGTCGAAGAAACGAGAAGAAGACGATGAAGGTTTTTGTCAAGACTTTGAAGGGCACTAACTTCGAGATCGAAGTGAAACCCGAAGAGATGGTATAAAACATGCGTATACATATCCGTGACTTTTCTTAATCATCAGAGATTAAAATTAACTGTTTTTGTGCTGATTTTGTAATGATAATCGCTTCAATTTTGAGTAATTAGGGTTTTTGGGGATTGAATGCGAATTAGGGCTTTCCCCATTCCCGCTATTGTCGAAGTTCGGATTTTTTATTATTATTGTTCGCTGTCCTTGTTTGCGGAATCGCAGAATTTAGTGAAGTCTTTGTGAATTTATCGTTTGGTTGTGCAAATTCTCTAGCTTTAGCGTTAGTGTTTTATTGAAGCATGTACATTGGTTTAAAATTTTCCATCTTCGATCTGTGGACTAGGGATGCGCTTCTATGTTCGTTCAAATTTTTAGTTGATTTGGACTCAATGCTTAAGATATTATACCACTCACATTGAACCCAATTCATGGTCTATAGTGAAATCATCAGAGGCGTAGAGATGAAAAACAATCAAACTGATTAATTCCAAGTGATTTTTTCGTTACTTAGCCCACTTCATGAGCACTGCCACTAAGCAACTAGTGCACTTACTTTCTTATCCTTTTTATTATTTTCAGCTCAGTGCAGAAATTAATTTTGTTAATCCTTTCTCCCAGGTTTCTGATGTCAAGAAAATTATAGAGACCGTACAGGGTGCAGATGTGTACCCTGCCTCACAACAGATGCTTATTCATCAGGGGAAAGTTCTTAAGGACACCACAACTCTAGAAGAAAATCAAGTTGCTGAAAATAGTTTTATTGTGGTAATGTTAACCAAGGTGAGTTTGCATTTATTTCTAACTGTGGTGATGAAAGTAAGAAAATTTATGTGTAACAGGATTTGTAATTGGCAGAAGTAGAGTCCACTGTGCAAACTTGCTCATGTTTTCCATTTTATCCAATCTTTAAAAGAAGATTTTCAAAGTGGGCTTGACAATCGTAAAGAGAATATTAAAGCATGATTATGTTTTTGTTCTTTGGCTTGATTAATCTGTTGGGATTCTTAGTCTTATCACTTTAATCTTAAGTATGGTCTCATTTATCAATTGTAGAATAAGGCATCACCAAGCGGAGCCTCCAGTACAAAAGGGGCAGCCACAAGTCAGGTAAATTTAGCCCGGTTGCTGTATTTAGTATCACTGTATTGGAATGTCTTTTTTTCACATTGATATTAGATGTGAAACTGGTAATCTTTGTATTACACAGGATCTCTTAACATCAGCTGTATAATAGACCAACTTTGGAAACATATCCATCTGTTTGTCTAAGAAGAGGTTTGTGTGAATGTGGGCAGAATGATCTAATGGATATTCTTGCTTGGAGAATTGTCTTATGAAGTCCTCTATGTGCCCAAAAATACACTTTTGCGCTTTTGATGCACTTGATTGCACTGACTTATGCGGACAATGATAGCTGTTTGCTTAAATAGTTTGGTTAGGAATGTTTGTTAATTTAATTGGTTTTAGTGACCTTTGAATGTTGCATATATTTTAATTGGACTCAGATAGTACCACATGTTTTATAGTTCATAATGGTGGAGAATGCATCCTTACCTTAATAAATTCTTAAATGGAAATCTATCAAAAGAAAAAAGAAAAACGTGTGAATAGTGGGTATATTAATGTTCACTGGTAATCACTCATACATGCTGAAAACCTCATTTTGAGATTACAATGCAAAGATAACTGATAATAACCAATAACATTTTATTTTATAGAGTCCTTAGGTTTGACTAGCTGACAATATGATGTTTTCTTTTTGTAAGTCCATCTTATATAGGCTATGATTTTGTAGGCTCAACCTGCTAGTACTCCTACTTCGACAACCCCACCAGTAGCAACTCCAGCTCCTGTGCGAGCTGTGGCAGAGTGAGTGTTGCCTCACACTTGTAGCTTTTGATTTAATGATTTTCTTTTGAAGCATTCATCTGTAATTGTTTTTACTGAAGACTTGTAACTGTTAACGTATGTATTTTTGGCATTAAACGGCCCTTTCATAAGTGTAGTTAGTCTTCATTTATAGCCTTTATTTAAGAAGTATGTTGGATTATGTAGAATTGAACTTGTTTAAACTTGTGAAGGCTGTTTTAGTTGTTCACTATTCAACATGAAGTTTGTTCTTTTATAAGTAGATTATATACTAATTACAATTTTTGATGTTGGTTGACTGTCCAGGTCACAGCCTGTCGTTGAGACTCCTGCTGTTGCAGCTCCCACTGATTCGTGAGTACTTATTTTTGTTTCTATTTATGAATTTTATACTTTGACTGTATAAGGCCATGTGCTTTGCTTTTGAATTTTTCTTATAGTATAAACTAGTTGACGATTTGAAGTAAATAATTTTTTTTCCGTAAAATGGACCTTTTCTTAAATTTTTTATTCTGGCTTTATTATTGGGCAGTTCAAGATCAGATGTGTATGGCCAAGCTGCATCAAATCTTGTTGCAGGAACTAATTTAGAGGCAACCGTTCAGCAGATTCTAGATATGGGCGGAGGAAGTTGGGATCGTGATACAGTTGTCCGTGCTTTACGTGCTGCTTTCAACAACCCTGAAAGGGCCGTTGAGTATTTATATTCTGTAAGTACTCAATGAGAAAAGGAATTTGTGAATTGATCTTGAAATTTTAATTGATTAGGAGGTAAAGGTAATGTTTTGTTGTTTTTCTACCTAACAAGTCATTTAGCCGTATGCAATATACTTTCTGTCTCAGTTTATCTCAGAATTGTTGACAATTAGGTATTCAGTTGATTAATATCGTGTACTTTGTGATAATCACTTTTGTAAATGATGTTACTCAATGGTGTTGGGTTATGATCCTTTCTCCACTCAGCTCTATATAGAGCAATAAAATTGGCTGGTGTTAAAAATAACATCCAAAGTGAAATGAAGATCTTGGTTGTTGCTTGCTTAGGCTCTGATGTTAACCTGTTTGGGTCATGTGTTCTAAGTTTTCATAACTGTTATCTCCTTGAAGAAAATTGCAAAATGTAGACTGTTATTTTGGTCTTTACTCTCTTCATCAATTCCTTGTTTTGGTTATTGTATGTTGTATCTGCATATATAGTAGCAAGCATATTTAGGTGTTACTATCAAATTGACACAAGAATTGATATA